GAATCAAATCAATTCAGAAAAATCGGTATCAGGTGTTTTTAACATGTAAAGAGAGTGATATGAGAAGCAACCGCTTCCAGAATCTTCGAAACATGGATCCCTACTATCATGAAGAGCGCAGCAGCTTACAGAGTCAGCAGGAAAAAGCTCGTAAAGAGAAGGAGATTGCTAAGAAGCATTTTAAGCCCAGGATGATTGTTCATCCTCGTTTTCAAAATATTACGGCTAATGAAGCAATGGAGGTGTGTTGTTAACAATTTTAAATCTATCATGAAATTACCTTTTTCCATGTGCTGCATATGCATGCATACACATGTTTGGCATATTATGTAGTGGAGTTGTATTTGCAGGACTATTTGAGAATGTGATGTGTACAAGTAACATATGCATAATACTGGCTAATATGTGTGCATAAGATGGAGGATGTCTGGAGTTTCATCTTTATTTTCTTGGGTATATGTTTCATTTGTTAGATTGGCTTATTTTAGGTACATTTTTTTAGTAGAAAGTGATTTCTCAAATTGAATTGATCCCCTCATAAAGGAGTATGTAGAGTACACTCTCCCACTTAATGCAGCAACATTGTTAACTTAAGAATCTGTAATATATCTGCCTGCGATTTTGGGTAGGATGCAGTGTGAAATTTGGCTTATAATATTTTTGGGTATCATGCAGTGTGAAATTGTGGTATGATTAGCACCTCTTGATTTTCGTTTACATAATTGTGTCGTAATTAAGTTTCTTCTTTTTTCCCCTTCGTGTACAGTTACTGTCTGACAAGGAACCTGGTGAAAGTGTCGTCCGTCCAAGTTCTCGGGGACCTTCATTTTTGACTTTAACTCTTAAAATTTATAATGATGTTTATGCTCATAAGGACATTGTTGAAGGCGGAAAGGAGCAAAAGGATATCACAAGCATGCTTCGAATAGGGAAGACACTGAAAATTGGAGAGGATACATTTGAAGATTTAGATGAGGTAAGTATCTCAAGTTTTGTATTACGGAGAATTGCTGAGGTCTTCGTGTAATTTAGCCAGTAATGATTAGAAGATATGCCAAAATGCTATCAACTGCCAGATTATTGCCATGCTTTGGAAATGTTTCTCGATATAGTTCTGCCAGGTAATGCTTGTTTAAGACCTTTTTTTTACATGTGGTCAATTGTAGATCGAATACTTCTTCCAGATAAGATTTTGTTTTCTAAGTGTACTTGTCGGAAATATACTTCTGTCAACATAATTTCAATCATTTTTACTGTATTTCTGAAGCATGGAAAGAGAACAACCTCTTCCATCTCTCTTTTTTTATTAAATTTTGAAGTTCTAGTTTGCTAGTCTAGGCTGGAATTTACCCAGGAGCTAGTCTAGGCTGGAATAGAGGATCTGGGTAGTGCTTGGTCTATGACTTTCTTTTTTCCACTTGTCTGATATTATCTCTCATATTCTTATGTTTTCACTCATTAATTGATTGCTGCTGCTTGAACAGGTTCGTTTTCTCAACTTAGCCCCTGTTTGACAACTATTATTTGAGAACCCTTTTTTCTACACTCATTTTCAACCGAACATTCATACAATAAAATATTTTGCACTTAAACTTTTTCCTACTACTTAACCATGCATTGTCCTAAAAATTACTATTCAAAACATTATTTTTGAGAAAAATGGTCATCAAACGGGCTTAATCTGCTTGCTAGAAATCTACTTTTGTCAACGTCATTAAATCCTTAGATATGTGTAGAATCTTCACCATAGGTTCTAAATTATGTTTTGTACTTAACTGTCGATTTTAACTTTGTTTTCTACGTTTTCTTGCCAAATATGAAGGATCATGGTTTGTCGTTCTTGATTCAGGTAATGGATCGTTATGTGGATCCATTGGTGTCCCATTTGAAGGCAATGCTAAACTACCGCAAGTTCAAGAAGGGCAATAAAGCAGAAGTTGATGAGCTCCTAAGGATCGAGAAATCTGAGTACCCAATGAGGATTGTGTATTGCTTTGGGATATCCCATGAACATCCTGGCACATTCATACTGACTTATATACGGAGTTCAAATCCACATCATGAGTACATAGGTCTGTATCCGAAGGGATTTAAGTTCCGAAAAAGGATGTTTGAGGACATTGATCGTCTTGTGGCATATTTTCAGAGACACATTGATGATCCACATGATTCGCCATCAATTCGATCAGTTGCTGCTATGGTGCCAATGAGAAGTCCTGCAACCGGGGGCTCATCAGGGTTTAGCAGTGGGTGGGGTGGTTCAGGCAATGATGGTGGACGGAGAGGAGGCCAGTCTTCAGACAGAGATAGAACTCCAGGTTCTAGGACAGGTAAAGCTAGAAGAACTTCAATTCACGCTTGCAGCACTATTCCTATATGATATTCAATGTAGTGTAAGGTCGTTTCCTTTTCACACATCCTTAAGTGATTGGTTGTGTCCTCTGTAGCACGGACACTTCAATTAGGGTAGCGTCTCCATGTCAGACACGAGTCGATACCGACAGTTCTCGGACACTCTACCGTAATTTTTCTTTTTATATTAGAAAT